TTGTTGTTGATGGCCACGACCATCAAACGATCAAACAGCTGCTTTCCCTTATCCCCTTTATGCTGCTTGGTCCATCTCCAAGCGTGTGGTCCCTATGATTTCTTTAATGAAATAAGGGCCTAAGCCTAATTTATTTATCGTGGAAATGAAAATAAGAAAACTAAAAATGTAGTATTTGAGGTTCAGAGGATGACATCATGAGGTATGAGATGTTTTGCACTATAGGCCTGTCTGGTTAATTTCTCACTATAAGGAGAAAATGGAAAAATGTATCTATCTAAAGAACTCATTTCCAAGCATTTTAGTGTTGTGTTTTTATTGTTTGTTTCGCCGTGAAAACATGTGTTGTAAATGATTTTCATTAAATTATCCTTTTTTGCAATAAATAAAAGGAAAAATCACTTTTCCTAGAATCATATTTCAGTTTTTTGTTGCTTATTTGCAATGTATACATCATTGAAAAAGTATGAAATGTGAAAAGTACCTAAAATCCCCATCTATATAATGTTGTTTAATCCATTTTGGGATTTATATGCAATGTGAAAAGTACCTAAGACCCCATTTGTTTAATGTTGTTTAATCCAATTTGAGATTTCTATGTTTTGTGACGTGGTGGGTGGTTTCTATGGGACTTTTCCAATAAATTAGGGGTTGGTTGGTTGGTTTCCCTAATTATAGGAAACTCATTTCCAAGCATAGACATTGTTTTTCATGTGTTTTTAAAGGTTTCTTAAAATTTGTTTGGTTCATCACAAAATAATGTTGAAAATAGATTTCCTCACATATTCATTGTTTGTTTCACAACTAAAAAAAATGAAACTAAGAATAGAAAACCTCACTTACCCATCACTAGAATAGAAAAAATAATAATTATTTAATATTTTTTCATCCCAATTCCGAACTCAAAGCTCGGAAATTGACATTTCTTGTTTTCTGAGTTAGCACGTGATTTCACCAAAAAAAATTCTTAAATCTTGTGTTGAACTAAACTAAGGAATAGAAAATCTATTTGGACTTAGATCTCACACTGCCACCTTGCCAGCCATGGAAACCTATTTCTCTTTATCATTTTTGCCAGCCCCTAAAAGCGATTGCGAAACAAACACCATAAGCGGAAACGTTTTTATTCATTAATTTTTAGTTGTTGACGTGGTAGCACCGTAGCACCAGGTTTTCATGCGAACCAAGTAGGCCGTATACCAATATGAGTACTGATAGCCATTTGTTAGCACAAGAAAACGATAAGTAATTAGTTTCTGTGTGATTTCCGTTACAGAGTACCACTTACATTAAAGTGTTAATTTCATAAAAACCCCCCCCAACCCAACTCCCCCAAAAAAATGTTATTTATCTCACATAACACTTTGCGATGTCTTAGAAAATATTTTGAATTTTGAACTCTTATCACCGAAACAACCCCAAAAAAAACAAAAAAACATATGTAATTTGTAAATAAGTGAAATTTTCTTAAGGGAAAAAGATCCAAATTTAGCGGAATTAGAATTTTTTTTTCTCTCAAGGATATTTTAATTATTTGCAAACTACACTCAATGGGATTAGATCAGATGAGATTATAATAGTTCAGATAGGTTTTGTGAAATGCCCCGAGAGTTATATTTAATAAATAAATTTCAAGACTGTTACGTGCAACACCCTCTAAAGTTTAGGAGGGTTCTGCGAAATTAACATTAAAATTAAGGTGTTGGTGCTTCTAAGGGAAAATGTTGAACCCGTCAAGACCTAGACGAAATCAAAAGTTAGGCGTTTGATTAGGCGATAGTGGTCTCTGACCTTTATCAATTTCAAAACATAGTCGTTAGCTTTAGGAAATTGGTTGCTTATTTCTAAGTGGTCTTATTTAGTCGTCAAATGCGGTGCATTTGGTACGAAATTCAAAAGTAAATGTGAATCTATTTGTGTCGAAGGTTACGGCGCGAGGAAAGAGTAAAAAGACTATAATAATAAAGAGAGAGAGGACATCAAAAGAATGGGCCAGGACTGGCTTTCTAACAGAACCGCGAAAAAGTCTGGTCCATCAAGTCTATGGGTGCGCAACCCAAACATCCAACGGTCTTATTAGGTTCGGATCTATGAGTCAGACTCTTAGGCTCAAACTTTAAAGAATGTGAGTTATCATTTGCTCTACATGTGTCGGCTGGCGACAGGAGGAAAATCATTTCGGCCTCGATTTGAGGAGCGATCGATGGGACGTGGGCTGATAAGCGGCGTGATGACGTATGGTCTTTGAGTAGACATTATATGACTTGTTGTCAGGATGGATAAGCTTTGGCAAAGTTATATTCTAGCTTCACTGAGAAGCAATGTCCCTCATGATGAGACTCGTGAGGAGAGTCGACTCGTTGAGAGGAGTGACGACTCAAGGAGATGCTGGCTGAATCGAGTCGGGTGACGACTCGTCTCGCCTTTCAAGTCGACATGGAGGAGTATCGACTCGACTGGGCCGACTAGGCTCTTGGCGAGTTGCCTGCTGCGAGAGGACCGACTGGTACCGCCTTTCGTGTCGGTATTGATGAATGTCGACTCGTCTGGTCGGCTGAGTCGGACTGCTAGCTGATCTCTGGCTATCTCTCCCGTCGGTCGAGATGTCGACTCGTCCAGGAGGTCAGGATGGCGCGTGCCGATTAGCATCGCCTTTCGTGTCGACACTGGGATGTCGGCTTGTCTGGCTGGATGGAGATGACGACTCATCAGATCATATATTAGGGAACAGTTGTACCCCATAACAATAATAACAAATAAATAAATCTAATTACAACCAAGGAATTACTCAGATTCTGACATAAGACTCCCTAACCCAAAAAAAAGTCATAATTGCTATCCCTTCAACTTGTAGAAGATGTTTTAGGTTGCAACTCCAATTACAGATGCTTAAAAGCATAACCACAACTACAAGCGCTAGGGAATGGGGGGAAAAGCCGACTGAAACCCAAAAGAGAAATCAAGAATTTGATTCCAAGCTCTGGCTGTAAATAGTTTGTCCCCAAATTCAAAGGTCCTTAAAAAAAGGGTCTTCCACCTGCAAACAAACAAAAATCTCAAAAGGACAGCTTCAAGTGATCAATCGGTCCAACACCACAGATCAACTTATTCCAACGCGTCAAGGAAACAGCCCCAATTAAAATAATATCGGGCGCCTACAGCTTGGTCAGTAAACATACGTTACATACCCAATATGGATAAGGTTCAAACAACTAAGCATATTAAACTCCCAAAGTAGAGGGATATTTTGACACCTTGCAACTGTGCCATAAAAAATAGGGACAGACTTCACCACGTTCTTTGGTCCTTTCTCCTAATTTTAGGAAACTCGACCCAAAACAACCCATGACCACGGTGAAGGATCTCGATTCCCCCGAATAAGACTAGTTTTAATGGTATGTTGTTGGAAAAGAAAAGGACATGGTTGAAGCTATGGTGGAGAAGTGGGGAAAAGGGATAAGGGATGAGTTTCTAAATCTCTTGAGTCTTATCCATTTCATGGCTAGTTTAATTTCCTACGGTCCTACCCACTTTGCGTTATTATAGTATACATGTGGTGGACTGAATAGTGATGAACAACCCCAAAAGAGAAAAGTTCATGGTGTGAATGGTACACACGGAGAAAATAAGTCGCATGTTTGGTCATCTAATTGCAAAAGTTTTTTATGGCGATTAAAGAAATATTAGTTATATTAGTTCTTCATAACTTAGTAGTAGGTGCTTATGTGCATAAGGTCATGGAGTTTCCTTTTTTTGAGAATCTCAGAAGCTGGAAATATTTTTGTACGAGATTTATAACAGATATTTATTAAGTTCTCATCCTCACGTGAAAGGATGTAGACCCTAATATTTATATCTTTTTAGTAGTTCATTTTGCTAAATAAATCATCACATCACAAATATCGTCCGTTGTTTATTATTTAGAGAATCGTGTTTCAACAAGAAAAGCTTTCAATACTAGGGTAGCTTTGAATAATTTTTGCTATAGTTATGTTATTTATAGAAATACATAATAATATTGTTTTCTCTTACTTAAGAACAATATAAAGAACATACAAGAGATATTTTTGAAAAAAACTTTTATATATAAAATTTATTTAAATTAAAAAGTGCAAATGCAGAACAATATTGCTGTATGCTTGTATTGTATGCAACAAGACAATGAAGCTTCCCTCCATGAAACTATACCATCTTTTTTCAAAAGAAAAAACTATACTCAATATATAATTTCATAAATTTAACGAAATGAAGTATGTAACAAATAACCATGTAAAACAATTGCCTGAAGAGTAAATACCAGAATATTATTACCAAGATAGCAACAATTTAAAGAAATAAAGTAGGATGCAAAAACCTAATGTCCCACTCTGAGTCAAACCACATGCGCCCATGATTTTTTTTTCCTAGCCAGTGATATTCATGACGGCCGCGTGTCTTCAGTCGTGCTCCCTCAAATTTTGAAGAGTCAGAAACCCTTCGGATGTACATAGCCAAGTGCGAGACCGCATCACAACCGTTGAATAATGAATTTTCGTTTTCTAGAGATTCGTGGAGAGCGCCACATAATCTAATATTTTATTCCGTTAAATGTTAGCTACTGAAACTTGACTTTTATCTTGGTCCGAGTCCAAAAGAATATAAAATTGGGAATTTTAGACCATAGTCCCTCACTTCTTCGATAATACATACCCTGCCTTCAATTCCTTTAAAAATTGGTCATGCGCCTTTCAAATCCTAAGCGGCCTTACAAACTGGTCACTTAGTGACCAGAACACAGGCGCTTTTGTGGTCACAAAAACGTACGACAAGGAGTATTTTGGTCACTGAGGGATCAATTTGTAAGATCCTTTAAGATTTGATGGAGATACGAGCAATTTTAAGAATGCGAGGGACTCGTTCGAAATTTTTGAAGATGTTAAGGACTAGGATCAAAATGACCGTATGGAATTTTCACTCTGGCACCAACGAGGGAGCTATATATATATATATACTCCCATCATACCTTATTTTTCTTAGACCATAACACAGAGCGTGGAAAGATTTATTGTTTGTTATCCTCTCTGTACTTTTAGTTTATGGGTGAAGGATTGAAACAAATGTATCGTGAAGTATCATCATCAAGAGCTGAGGATGAGGATGAGCTCGGAGAATCATCATCTCTCTCAGGGGAATCAGATGATGAAGTGGAGGATGAAGCCAACTCTCCTTCCAATAAATCTTCAAGCTCTTCTCATGGGCCTCTCCATGAGCTGTCTTCACTTGTATCACAGCTCCCTGTCAAGTGAGTATTCATTTGGTTTTTTTTTTTCGTACCTTTTAAATTTAACGGTGGAAAAATATTTGTAACATAGTTGGTCACAATTAATCTTTTTTTTTTTTGGGGACCAAATTAAGATCCTTTTTCTCCACATAGAAAGAAACTCTAGCTTGAAATTTTTTGTTGATGGGATATCAAGACGAAGGCATAAAAAATTACGTGATGAGTTCATTTTCAAACTTATATGTGAACTTAATTGAGTTCTCTAGAATTATAGGGGGAAATATAAGTAACTGATTAGCTATTTATTCATTTTCCAATCTTAGGGCCAAATTTCATTTGATTGATGGACCTTTTTTTTCTTTAAAAGATAAGTTTGCAAATAATGGATCAACGGTCAACCTACCGCACCAACCTTGTGAAATTTCATTCGGATAGAGGTTTCAATCAATAGGTCTCGTCCAACGGAGCAAAACTGGACGGGACAAGTCACGACCCAGTTTTGTGTTAAACTAGTTTTGTTACTATTTGGGCACAAAAAATAAGGTTAAATCTAGCCCAGAATTTTGACAAACAAGAAACAATACAAAATTAGACTAGGTTTAGTGCTGACCCAATTTGTACAAAGTAGCCAAACACTCTATTATACATAACCTTTGTCATCTTTTTAAATTTTGTACTTACAATTTTTATTTTTATTTTTATTTTTATTTGTGGGGGTATTGTAGGAGAGGCCTCTCAAAATTCTATCAAGGCAAATCACAATCCTTCTCATCATTTTCTGATGTGAGTAGCGTTGAAGATCTCGCTAAGAAAGAGAGTCCAATAATCAAGAGGAGTATGAAGCCCTGCAGGAGGAGCTATGGAGGGGGATTGGATGGTAAGGACCAGGAGTCATGTTACGGGTCACCATCTGGGCCTTCGAATAAAATCTTACCTAAGAAAGGCCCAAGAGGTTCTTGTGCTTCCTCAATTGCGAGAACCAGCAGCGGCTGCAGCTATTTTGCCGGTGGAAAGCCCCCTGCTATTCCTATGCACAAGAACATGTAAAAATTTTAGCCTTTAAATTGAATCATTAGAGAGAGAGAGAGAGAGAGAGAGAGAAGGAAGCCCTTTATTATGGAGATTTTGTCTAAAGGAGTAAAGCAGATGTCGAGGCGTTAATTAGAGTTTCATCTGGATTTACAGAGTTTTTTTTTTAATATTTAGCATTTATTGTGCCTTGTGTTATTGTGTAGATATAGGTAAGAATCATTTCCTTAATTACATTGATCTTATATTGTGTAATCATGAGCTAATAGAAGCACATTTCGGTTGCACTCTTGGCGCTAAGGGCTGTTTGGTTCGTTTCTTAGATATAGAGAAATGCATTTTCATTTCTTAGATATAGAGAAATGCATTTTCATGTATAAAAACATAAGTTTTGAGTTTTCTAAACTTTTAGAAAAAATAGAATGTTTCGTTTTGGTTTGTACATAAAAATGGTGGAAAACTAATGTATTTTTTTTTGTTTGGTTCGTATGGAAAAAAAAACTTTTGTTTATATAGCAAAAAGCTAACATAGTTGTAGTTTTCATCGATTTTACGAGGTTGAGGAAGGAATTGGGGGAGACGGTGATTTTCACCGAGTTTTTCTTCTTCAACTCTAGCGAATCAAAGATGGGAAAAAAAACCGACGAAAAATTTATATCCTACGTGATCACGAAAAATCTGATAAACGTAAATTTTGATTTTTTGAATGAGGATAATTGGATTTTAGCCGTTAACCTAATGGCATCCATTCTAACGTCGAGGCATGCCGTAGATGTCCCCGGGAGACGAGAGTATATTCGCCCGGCATTTCCTATGCAATTGTACGCGACAAAATTTTGAAGCCCAACCACCTTAAAAATAGTTTTATTTTATATAAAACACCTTTCATTTTAAATTTAGACATAAGCTAATAAGCCACCTTTAAAGAGTTTTGTTGCAATTAATTATTTTGGTTTACTTTTTAGTTAATCTTTTCGATAATTGACCCCCACCTAACTTTAGTTCAGAATCATCTGTTTAATATACTTGGTATTTGGTATTTGACAACGGGATAAAGCAAAATCGCAAAAAAGTTGGGCGCAAAGGCGAGTCCTGATGGTTTTTTGCAATAAATAAGAAAAATCCCTTTAAAAGTGGTTATGTATAACTTAGAAATAAAAGATAATTTCTATAAAATGATCTATTTTAAAGTGGGGGTGGGGTGGGGTGGGGGTGGGGGGGGTTTAATTTCAAAAGTAAATGCTAGTAATTTTGGAGCAAGGATAGTTCGCAATGCCTCTATTGTTTGCAAGAGAAAATCATTGGTAAGGGGCAATTTGGTTTGTGGATTAATCTTGATGCATGTAATGGATTTTGAAAAACTCTTACTAAAATTTTGTTGTTTGTGATGGATATTAAAGAGAGTTTGCATGGGGGTTACAATCCAATCAAATTTTATTTGGTCATACATAAATTTTGTTGAGAACATGTGACTAAATTTACAAATACGGTTTAAATCAATATATGATTTTAGAGAATTGTAATTGATGCATTTATCTCATGTGACAACCCTAAATCCGTATATAAAAAATAATAAGCAAACAATATATTTACTACAAATCCATGATTTTTAACTTGTGGCTCTCCTTTTTTAAATGCAAGGATGCAAAATAAATGAAAACAAACAGCCACTAAGGGGGTTATTAGTTGGGACAAGTTGGGGCTAAGTGAGATAATTGTTCTAATGTAATAATTTTATCCCTTTGGGATATTTTGAGTGGTGTAAAGTAGGACAATTTAGGATAATGGGACAATTTGAAGCTTTAATTTGACAATTCATGTGAGATAATTGATGATGACACCTTATTAAGTATAATATTTATCTATCAATTAAGACTAAATTAATTTACCTAATTGGTTTAGCATATTATTTGGTATGTTATTATAATGTAATACATTATTTTACTTTAAACTAACCTATAATATATTATATTATAATTACTAATTAATTATAAATATATTAAATGTTATTAATTAATTTATTATAATATATTCTAATAATATGATATATTATATAATAATTGATATAATATACAAACAATATATTTAATATAATATTTCAATAATATAAAATTTAATAAACTATAACATATTATATTATAATTACTAATTAATTATAAATATATTTAATGTTATTAATTAATATAATATAATATGTACTAAATAATATAAAGTAATATTATAATAATATAATACTAATATTATAATATATGAAATATTATTAACCAATATGTAATAATGATATATAATAATGTTATATTAGATAATATTATATAATATTTTATTATCTTATATTATAATATAATCTAACTAATAAAATATGTACTAAATAATATAAAGTAATATTATAATAATATAATACTAATATTATAATATATGAAATATTATTAACCAATATGTAATAATGATATATAATAATGTTATATTAGATAATATTATATAATATTTTATTATCTTATATTATAATATAATTTTATAATATAATATAATTAATATATATTATATATTACAATACAATTAACATATAATAGATACTTAATAAATTAGTGCTTTAAAATTATCCTAATTTCTTCATGATTGTCCTAAAGTTAAGAATGAGGTAATTTTTAAAGGTTGGGACAAAAAGTTTGTATAAAAGTGAGATAATTTGAAGAAAAATAAGGGTAATTGTCCTAATCTCATTGTCCCAATAAATAACACTTTAAAGTGAAATCACAATCTCATTATACCAATGAATAACACCATAAAAAAAGTCCCAAAAATTATTCCACTTAATATGAAATTACACCAACCAGTAACCCCCTAGGACAGTTTGGCAAAGGGTTAAGTGAGGGGTTAAGGAGACTTAACCCCTTTTTAACCCGCCAAACACAAAAAATCTATATAAGAGGTAAAGTGAGTTAACCCTCTATAATTTGCCAAACATAAAAAATATAGAAGGATTAAATTAACCCCTCTAGAGGAATTAAAATTGAGTGAACCCCTCAAAATAAGGAGTTCACTAATACTCCTATTTAAAGATTTAAGAGTTAACCCTTCTAATTATAAAGAAAATAATCAAAATAATTGTTATTTCCAAACACTTAAAACTAATCACAATGACTAAAATAAAACTAATTTAACAGAGACCCTAAGGAACAGCAAAAGCCTATACTGCAGCAAGGATATTCTC